AGTGTACCCATTTTAATGGCTTTTGATTCACATTGCCAAATTGTTCTTTCAGGGTTGCCCTAATTTCTAGGACTTCTCATTGGCACTGAATATTCATATTCCTTTTACATTTTTGCCAATTGGAGAGACAAAAACTCTTTGCTCTCCTTGTCTTTCTTGGTTCTTAATGAGGTTGAACAGGTTTTCATATGTCTATTAGCTTTTTTTTTGATGAATGTCCTGTTAATGCCTTTTGGTCATGTTTTTCTAGCTGGTCATGAGCCTTTCTCTTATCATTTTATAAAATATCTAAATATATGAGGGCTGTGTTGAACAGTTTTCTTAATTTGTCAAAGGACTTTGCCAAGTCCCTACCAGCATATTTGCAGAGCTTTGTGGGTTGCTGTGATTTTCCCTATGGGGATGGTTTTAAAATCCATCACTTTTTAAAAAGCTAAGAAATTCATGGTAACTGTAATTATGATGAAAATATCAATATCACATAAATGATAATATCTTGTAACATATCTAAATAATGTATAGCCAAAACACTAATAATAAAGACTTTAACAATAAAGTTCTATACAAGCTCATTGGACATTTCTCTTCCCCATCCAATTCTCCAAATCCTGGCAATGCAGTTTACATACGGAACATTCTGATTATTTGGTCTGTTGTCTCAATGCTCTCCACTGCTAGCATTTCATTAATATTCTAATTTTGAGTCCTGTGGAAAACTTCCAGGTTATAATACACAATTGTGTAATTTCACAAGACAACCCATTAGGATATAGAATGTGGAATGCAAGATTAGGGCTTTGGCTTTTTAAAAAAATTTTCTTACCCTCTCCAGTGTGATTTCTTCAAATTCATATTCAATTTCTGTCCCATTGACCTATACATAGGAAACAAAAAAAAAAGGAGAGACAACTATTAAATACACGCTGAGGAAACAGCTGCATTTTTTAAAATGCTCAGAAGTTAGATTTTCATCCTCGCTGTAAATAAACCACACTTTCTTGATGTTGGTGATTATATATTTTTATTCAAATGGAACATAATCCAAACTATTCTAAAATATGTAAGTGAGATGCTGCAAAAATAATCCAAGATTATTACATTCCTTAGAATTTTGTAATTTTTGTGGCAGGAAGAAAAATACAAGATATGCATTGGGAGTTTACAAAGAACAAATCATCTAGGGCCAATGTTACAATTATGAGGGAAATAATTTTCTAATATCTTTTTTAAATTTTATGATTAAACTCCAAAATATGAACTAAAATTCAGTGATAATGACAGCACAATTATATGTCATTTTTTGCTGGAATAAAATAGCATTAAAATGACTGCATCAGCTAAGGAATATCTTTTCTTTACTGGCGTAAGCTGAGGTAATTCATTCCCTTTATCCTTTTGTTACATTTCTTGGAAAGCCCTGGACTGTGTAACCATGCCCATGTACTTCAGTAGTAATGAAAAAAAAGCAAAGTAGGACACATTTTGAAATTCCAAGTGACAAATTGTTTTAACCATCCAACCAAGCTTTAAATTGATTTGCATTTGCAGAGAGAAATAAATAGATTTAAATACAGCCAGTCACCTTGGATTTCAACAGATGTGCACAGAGAATGTATGAAGAGTTGCTTTAAAGTAATCTAACAAATATTCCTCTTTCATTTTTATCTATCACAGATTTCTTCTCAGCCAAGCAAAATGTCTGAGCAAGAAAATTCTCAAATTGGCTGTTTCTTATTTCTGATACGTGTCTTGGCAACATCGTTAGAATTTAGGAATCAGCCAGAAGGACTAATTTTTAACATAAACCCACCATTTTTTATAGGATTCTAACTTCAGTTTACCTTTCCATCTTAGAAGAATTTACACATATACTGCAGATTGAGAGCCCTGTGGAGGCAAGGACCAGATAGCCAGCTCCATGGCCTAACACAGAGACTGGCAGGGAAAGGATTCATGAAGGACAGAAGAGTGAATGAATGACTGACTGAACTCAGTAATTTATTTACCTGATTTATAAACACTGATATTTGTGGATTCTCTTACATAAAACATTTGGATGTATCATCCAACTACAGATTTAGTATCATCAACTAAAGGTATAATGATAGTTACAATCGGTAAAAATATAGAATAACAATGATCATAGACTTGACTTATGTGTGTCCACCACCCATTCAGAACATGTTTTTGATTTTCTAATTACGTAAGCTAATTGGTGAATCACCATTTACTGTGTTACTACATTATCAAACAGCTCTAAACTAAATTTGATTTTCTGGGCTTCAGCAACTTAATGACTCACAGAAAAGAACTTGATGATATCACAAAGCTTTAGCAGCTTTATGGAGGTTTTGGTTCTGCACATGTTTAAGTTAAAAAAAAAGAAGAAAAAAACCTCAACCTTCCTATATATGTATATGTTTCCATATGAATTTTTTTTATAACTTTCTTTAGTTGATAGGAGGAGGAGGATAGAAAGGGAAGGCTGAATTAATGTGACATGTTTTCATTCTCTCAGTATGGCTCCATGAAGCTTTTCTCTGCTTCATTGCTTCTCTAGAGTAAAGCACTTCACATTATTAAAGTGCTGCAAACTGGGGAGAAAAAAACAACCACTTCCAAGAGAGAAAAACAAGCCTCTGATAACAAATATCTAAAGGCTCAAGGTGAAAGAAATTCTTTTAGGTAGTGCTTAAGGGACAAGAATATTTTAATGGCATACATTGCATAGTTGTGGCCTATCAAAATTTGTGCTTAACATTTCTAGGATCATATCTGCCGACTATTAGACATTAGAAGCACTATACATGCACATTCTAATTAGCATTCCAAAGTTTCCTGGTCAGCTAGATGAACTATTGCAGGCTTATATTTACTCCATGGGTCTTCAGTTTTCAACCCAAGAAAATAATGTCATTTGCCTTATTCATTTGTTATCCAGGTTCTCTTCATAAGAAGGGTTGATGCCATCCAGGTTGGGATATAACTTTGCTTTTAAAAGAAAGCATCCTATGTTTACAAAAGGCTTTAGTGAAATCATAGAAGAGTGAAGGGTTTTTGGCATAGGTGAGGCAACAATTCAAGATTTAACTGAAGATCATTTGAAACATGTAATCACAAGATCCAGTGCGGGAGTTCAGGAAAGACATTTGAAAGGCCCTAATGTCTATTCTCTCATCAGTAGGAGAACATGGTCTACGTTCTGCCTAAGAACCCTTAAGACAGTAAATCCTACATTTTCCTTTGGCAACAATCTTGGGGAAAAGGATGGGATAGAAAAAAGAACTAAGAATACCTCTATTTTAATTTGTGAAAAATTTAGTGCCTTTTCAAACCAGTACACCAGTACAGTATTCTTTAAATATTTTTTTTCCATATTTATTTAGAGAGTCGTTTTTTTTTTCTTTTATTTCAACATATTATGGGGGTACAGATGTTTAGGTTACATATGTTGCCCTTGATCCCCCCCCCCAAGTCCGAGTTTCAAATATGTCCATCCTTCAGGTGGTGCGCATTGCACTCCTGTGTATACAAATACCCGAGAGTGGTTGTTTATTCAGTGATGAAGCTCCAAGAGATATCTACAACACAATCTTGTGTATCCTCACTCAGCAAGACCCAAACTGTTGTGAATGGCTTCCATCATCTTCAAGGGGTTTACAGACAATCCATTGTTGTCTGAACTTGCCTTAGTGGTCTCACTTTACTCCCAATCAATTTATCAATACATGACTTTCAATTCAACAAGTTCTCTTCCTGAAAAGGGTGATTGAGCAGAAACACTTCCTGTAGTATTTAAGTACCCTGATGGTTGGTTTTATGCCCTGATAGTTTTGGACCTGGACAGCTGTGTGGTTGACATTACTGTTATTCCAGCTCCGTGCCCTAACTAGCACAATCTCCTCTTCACCTTGATGACTAGGAAAGTGAGGGGAATGGCATTTTTGAAGACTTGGAGGATCAGTAAAATAGATGGATTTTCCAGTGTTTGAAAATTGAGTTTTTCATCAAATATTTGATATTTTTCAACTTGATGGTTCTGTGGTGACAGCTGGTAGGTTTCTATGGTGGCCAGAAAATCAAATTGATGCCAGACATTGTCCTGCACTGTTCTGGGCATGTAGTCTTTCTGGCATCGTATAGCAGTTAAGTCAAGAGAGTGACCCACAGCCTACTCGAATGTAAAGTTCTAATTTCATAAACTTTGAATACTTCACACGTTTTTTCCATAAGATAGTCTTTAGTTAATTTTACTGCTTTTTTTCCACTTCAGTGCTATAGTAACCACCTGCCTGGATGATGATGTAATTTGATTTTGACATATATTTTTATCTCATGAAAAGAGATTTTTCATGAATAATACATATGAACTATTACATGTTTTAATGTTCTTTAATTGAAATCTTATATAATGATTTCTTTTAATTTTTGTTAGATTTTTTTGTTTTTTTGTTGCATTTGTAATTTCATTAAGACTAGGAGCATACTAAATTCTGAAATGGATGAATTTTTATACATCCTTATGTTATATAGTAATAAAAAGTGCTGAAACAGGTATATCAAAGCATTTTGGCTTCTTTAGACTAAACACAATTCCACCCAATGAACAATTATTGATCATAATAGCTACAAAGAAAATAAAATACCTAGGAATATATTTAACAAAGGAGGTGAAAGATTTCTACAAAG